TAAGATAAATTCAAGATATAAATAAGTAAGGCATAGAATACAAATGAAAAATGAAAATGAAACTAAAGAAAAGAAATTCTATTGCCAAAAATTAAGGCATAATAGTAATTAGATAAATACATGAGAGAAAGTAATCAATAAATGTGCTAAGTAAAATTTCTCAGCATATAAAGACACTTGCTGCAAAATCTGACAACCTGAGTTTGAGTCTGGGAATTGACAGGGTAGAAAAATAGAGCCATGTCCTTCAAGTTATCCTCTGACCTCTAGATATGTACCATGTCATGTGAGCATAGATACACACACACACACACACACACACACACACACACACACTAAATAAATAAATAAATAAATGTAAACATTTTTAAATTTAAAATTTCTTAATGAAAATAAAGTGAACATTCTGCTAAGTGTGTAGAAAAATAATGGATCACATTGAAAAAGGACAACAACAGCAAAAAGATGTTGGATCAGCTTTGTTTGTGGTTCATCCAGAATTAGAGACTTTAATTTAAATTCATGAAGGAGAAGGGCAAGTGAATGTATGGGGTTTTTCTTGCCCTTTGTTTGTGTTATTGCTGAGTCTATATGGGTAAATGTCTGGTGTCTACCAGAGTTGTATTGAAAACACAGCCAACATTTGTCTTGTTTACATATTAGGATGATGAAAGGTTATGCCTACTCCATGGAATGCACTGCTAAATTTTTTTCCAGCAAAGTCCCAAATTTGGTTGCCAGCACTCATGTTGGATGGTCAAAACATCTGTGGCTCCAGGAGACCCAATGTTTCTGGCTTCAGTAGGCTCCTGAACTCCTGAATTAATTGCTCTCCACAAACATAATTTAAAATAAAATAAATATTTTTAAATTATTAAATTATGAGGACTAATTTGGGATTATTTTGTAGCTTATAATTATCTGAGTTTTCTTGTGTTTTAACTTATTAAATGTTCTCATTTAACATCCCCAACTATAAACTGATTACACATTTATAATTTTCTATCACTTTAGTCCTTGCCTTAAAATTTGATCATTGTCAGGCTAGAGAAATGGCTTAAGTAGTTACAGGTATTAGCTGGTCTTGCATAGGACCACAGTTCACTTCCCACCATCTGAAGTGACTCATAACAACCCATAACTTCAGTTCAAGGAGCTCTAATTCTTTCTTCTGGCTTCTGTGGGCACCAGGATCATGCGAAACATACACACATAAAACAAAATAAATGCATCTAAATAAAATCAACAGCTTTGAACAACTAATATTTGGAATAATTATTTTTGTCCTCTTTAAATAATGACAGATCTTTAGCACAGCACTGCTGCAGTGTGATCTGCCTTACTATCCTTATGCCTTTTACTTTGTTCCTATTTTAACAGGAATATATACAATTAATTGGTTTTCATGTTCTCTTTTAATCACCCAGTCGTATAATTGGAGCCTCTTCTTCTATTCAGTTTAGGGTGTTAAAGTCCTTTGCTGGTAAAATTGAAAGGTCTGTGGAGGGTGGAGCTATATAGAGAGAGTGAAACAGGAGTCAAGATGGCTCCACTATCCCACTGTAAGACACAAAGGGAAAGACAAGACTGTTTTGAAATGTGGCACCATGTGTCTCCCTGATTGTCTTATATTTCCCAATCAGCTCTACAATATCTTTCCAAGGATACTTCAGTATCTTCCTGGATCACACCAAACACTTTTCAGAAACTGGCGAAAACTGAAATTGTTTGTTTCTGATATTATTAACAATCACCGGAGAGACTGGGACCCAGATGAGCCGAGAGACTTCATTGATGCTTTCCTCAAGGAAATGGCAAAGGTGGGGAAGATATCTGCTGTGTTGTTTTCTGCTTGCAGAAGCAGCAGCAGTTTAGTGGTTTTCAGTTGATTCTGCAATATGTCTCCTTGAGCTTATTGGTTTCCCATGGCACAGATGTGTTCCATCACAGTACTGTATAATTCTTGTATGCCTGTTGGCCAGGAAAGCTTTGTATGGAAATAGGGAGAACTCAGTTCTGATTCTACAGGACACAGATCCCTTTTGCTATGCCTCTTTTCTTCATCTTCAATGCTAAGACTGCAGCATCAATTTCTCCCTGACCACTGCTTCCATCTTTATATTTTGTCTCTTTGACTCTGAAGAGCTCCCTCTTATAAGAATAATTCAGTATAGTCTCTGTTTTTGAAAATAATTCATACTTACAAGGTTTATTATGAAGTATCAAGGAATATGCACTTAAATGAATAGATGCACATCTGTGGATAATTACTTAGCACACTACAGGAAAATTAAAAGGATATAGTACTTATGAAATATATGGTGGCATTTATTTAAGATTATTAGGGTCATTAAAAATAGAGTTCTAAGCCATTTGTTGGGAGACCATGATAATGACAGATACTATCTTTATATGTGTCTCTCTTAGCTTTTATCCATATGTAAATGAGCTGTGCCATAAATAAATGTTCATATTAAGCTTCAGAGTCCAATTTTGTTGCAAGTTTTTTCCAGGGCCAGTTACTGACTGCATCTCACTCACCACTGCAGGACAAAACAAAATACAGCAGAATGTTGAAGTTTAACTTTAATGTTTAGACGAGGCCTTCTAACTCCCATAAAAAACATCCAGTAATACACAAGAGGCTAGACAGTGGCCAGTTTGCTGTGGTTATTACTTTTGCATCACTATGACAATACCCGGCAAAAAAACAGCACAAGAGATTTATTTTGGCTCATAGTGTCAAGAAATTGAGTCCATCACTGCAAAGAAGGAATGCTAGAGAAGCTAAGCAAAAAGCCTATGGTGAAGTCTGGCCACACAATGATACATTAAGAAGCAGGGACCAAGGTTAAGATCTGGGGCCTGGACATTAAGAGTCCTCCCCTTGCTACCCCCAATCCCAATATTATAGAACCTCCAAAAATACTACAGATGACTAAGAACCAAGAATTTAAAACATGAACCTGTAGTAATTCTGAAATTTCATTAAAGATTCAAACCATATCACAAAATATACAAAATTAAGCTCACCAAGCCTCTTACTGGCACATATCACAGGATCAGTGGTATAAGCTTGAATAAGTTGGGTTCCTTCACTGACCAGGGGCAGAACAGTAATTTTTCATCCTTTCTTTTATTTCATATGTTTTGGATAATATAGATAAAATCGATGTTGTACTTTTTTCCTCAGAGGTAGAGACAAATAATTACTTGTCATACCCAGTTGTTAAACCATCAGTATTATGAGCAATTGTAACAAATTTATGCTTCTAGAGGAAGCTGGTAAAGATGATATTGTGTCATAAAAATAACTGATGGGATCAGAAAAGTCTTGTCCTGAAAAGATTACTAGTCAGAGCAGAGAAGCAGTGAACAAAGAGAGCTGATTTGATTCTTTCTGGTATCAACAAAATCATTTGTTGAGTCTTCACTATGTATGTACCTGTGGTATCTCACATAATTGAAATGGCTTTTTAAGGTGTGCTTTTTATTCTTATTTTATCAAACTGATGAAAAGAAATGTTGAATGAGTACCCTAGGCCACATGTTTATTTAGTGAGGTGGCTGATACTAGAAGACAAATATAATTTTTCTATCCCATTTTCTTATCACTGAACAAAGGTTTTCTTAAAATCAATCAGAAGAAATAGCTGCAGTGATTTCCATCCACCCAAGTGCCATAATGCTTTAGTTAGCTTGTAGCATTTGGGACAGGAAAATGTTTCATGAGGCAGTCAATGGGAATATCCTTATATATGAATCTTTTCAAATTTAAAATCTCTGAATAAACAAACACATCCTGCCTTTTTTCAGTACCCAGACAAGACTACTACAAGTTTCAATGAAGAAAACCTCATCTGCAGCACTCTGGACCTCTTCTTTGCTGGTACAGAGACAACATCCACAACACTGCGCTGGGCTCTGCTCTGCATGGCCCTCTACCCAGAAGTCCAAGGTGAGTGTGTGGTGACTGCACCTGGACAAGGTGGAGTGATGCTTCTGGATCTGTGGTTCAGATGGATCCAGAAGATGGCATGAAGAAGTGGGAAAAGTAGAGTGCCTAGGTGGAAATGTGCACTTTGAAAGTAGCACATTCTCCACATGTTCTGTCAGGATTGTCATGGGTTCACCTCACAAGGAGTTGAACGTAGAACAAAGAAAGGAAGGGACGTGACACTGTGGTAAATTCCAGCAAAGAGTTACTTTACCCTAATGTTCCCTCCTTCCTTTTTAGTAATACATTCCTATTTCCCATGGATGTTGTGTAAATGCCTTAATCAAGTTTCTGGAGTCATGTGATACGCGCCTCTCTGTCTATCCTCAACCCCACCCACCCTGCTTAGTAGCATTTTTGTATGACATGTCCTATCTTGTTGCTGTCTTTATTCTTATGCCAACATCATGGCAATGAGTCTTCCATCTGCCAAAAATTTACTGTTCCAATTTCTGCCAAATCTAGAAGGATCTTGCAAGGCTCCACTGTCTAAGGTGCTTCGTATTTCTCCATAAATTTACTGACTGGGAAATTGTGGGTCTTTGTGGCTGGAATGCAGAGACATCCTTCACGACAGCCACAAGACAGCAGGCCCCCAACAATCCCAGAGAGTCTGTGGGTTTCCAAAATGGCTTTATTGGCATGATGGATGATAGTTGAATCTGGATGTGTGCCCACCATCAAACTCATGGCAGATCTGAGTTAAATAGGGAGGGAAAAGTGGGGAGGGTCTGGGGAAGAATGTTTAATTGGCTATGCCCTCTGGCCTTCAGGTATCTCATTAGTATGTAAATCTCTCTAGGGCTGAGGCTTGTAGTCATACTCTTTACTTGTGCTCTTTGACAGGGGCTGCATTGTCCTATGTGACTAAAAAAGATCCTAGATTCTAGGAGCACAGCAGAATTAATGCCCGCCCCTTGCAAGGTCTCAGGGCTACTTCTAGCCAGCATTTCTACTAAAAACCAATACCCCTTTCATGGCCTTACAGGAAATTGTTGTCAATTTCTTCCTCCAAAGATGATCAATGTTTCTCCATCACTGAGTTTTATATATTACTTAATGTCTCTCCACTGCCTGTTGTCCATGACAAAGAACGGTTTGTGTCATAATTTCTCTTTCTCTACATTCTAGAAGAGTTTAGCTGGTGCTGGGTAGGAACATTTTTTTTTTATATCATGAAACATTTCCCTTATCAAATTGTAGCTCACAGTTTATTCATTTATAAAGTCAATTTAGTACATTTTGAAAATAAAAAAGATAAAGAGTTCTACCAATAAGATGAAGTCAAGTTTGTCCATAATCTTTATTTCATCTTTGGGTGAGTGACTCTCTGTGAATGTATATATGTGTGTATGTGCTTATGCATGTTGTGACCACAAACCAACTTCTTCAGAAACAAGGTTAATTTGGTTTTTTTTTTGTTTGTTTGTTTTCTTTTTTAAACAGATAAGTTCTCTCATTGGCCTGTAAGCCACAAATAACCACTGAGCCACAGGGGTCTACTTGTGTCTGCATCTCCAGCATATTAGGATGACAAGATTTTGCCATCACATCTAACTTTTTTATATGGATTCTAGGGACCAAACTTAGGTCCTGCAGCTTGCAAAGGAATTATTTAACCAACTGAGCTATCACTCCTGGGTTTACTTTATTTCTTTATGAGTGTGAAATATGTACTAATATGTATCTATCTTTACCTATATCCATCTTGAATTACCATTTAAAATACGTTTCTTCTGAATGCTACACTGAACTTTTTGGTTACATTTTAAGGGATGTAGGGAAATGCCATGGTACAAGTGTAGTGGTCATAAGGCAGTTTATAGGATTACATTGTCTCATTCACCATGTAGATTCTAAGGTTTAATTCAGGATAGGTAGTTCAACCCTGTCATCTATATAGCTGTCCTGAGACTACATTTATTAAAATTTAATTTAATTCACTTAAATTAAACATTTGACTCCTGAAAATAAGATGCTAAAATATCAGGAGATTTATATAATACATTTATAATTATGATCATCTTACAACATCCATAGTAGTCATGAGATGGTAAAAACCAGTGCACGCAAGTGCAATGAATAAATAAAATATTGGATATACATGAGATCAAAATAAAATTTAGTCAGAGATAAGAAGTTCTTTTGAATTTTTTTTATTTATTTTATATTATGTATGTGAGTCCTTTTCCTGTGTTTGTGTACTATGAGATTGTCTTGTATCTACAGAAGTAAGAAGAAAGCATCAGAATGTCTGGGACTCAACTTACAGAAAGCCATGAGCCATCATATGTGTTCTGGGAACCAAGCACAGGTCCTCTGCAGGAGCAGCGAGTGATCTTAACCACTGAGCCACTCTTCAATTCCAGAAAATGAATTCTAAAACTGTTTTATTTCAGGACACTATGCTAAGTTAAATAATATGATCCCAAAATTATAAATACTCTACTATCTAACTGAAAGAATCGTCAGATTGTATACCGTACAGAAGGGAGAATGCAGAGAGAGGGAAAACAGTATTTGTAACATGGAGTTTTTTGCAAGATGAACTTCCAGCAATAACATGCACAACAACATAAACATATTAAATGCTAATAAATTACTCGTGTAAAAATGGTGAGAAGAGCTGTAAGTGGTGGTCTACACCATTAATCTCAATACTTGACAGGTTTGAAACTGGTGTGTTGAGAGTTCAAGGTGACCCTGGCCCTATAGGTGGAATCCTGACTTAAAAGTCATCATGGTAATAGTAATAAATTTTATATGGATTTTGTATGAAATTAATTTTCATAAGTAGAGCAACAGTAAAGGGTGTAAAGTTCTAAATTCATTTAAAATGAAATGTATAGCCAGACAATCAAATAAAATTAGTTCAAACTCTATTACTTTTGAGAAAGAGAAGTTACATTGATAGATAATTTGGAGAATAAATCATCTACTGCTGTACAAGTTTGTGTAAATCTCAAAACATCCTCAAAGTAAAGCAGACTTATCGTCACTAATCACAGAAGAAAACTGAAGCTCAAAGAATGTAGTCATCTTCACAGACTGCTGTTCATGGTCCACACAGATATATCTCCTTAAGAAAATAGACTTTACAGATGTGCTATAGTCTGAACATTTGTGTCCTCCTTGCCAAAATCCTGTTCAACTCTAATTCTCAATGTGATTGTTCTGCAGATTAGTGCCTTTCCAAAGGACATACCAGAGAGATCCCTTTTTCTTTGTGGCATAAGAATACAACAAGGCTTTGGCACCTATGAGACAGAAAGTTTTCTCTACCAGGCAAGAAAACTTATAGAGCTTGATCTGTGAAGTTCCAAGCTCTAGAACTATAAGGACTACATTCATGTCAATTTTTAACCCATTAAGATGAATGGTGCTTGTTTGTAGAAACCACTTGTTTGTAGAAGCCTGATTAGATACTCCTATGAGCATATCTGA